TACGGGACCCAGAGTTCCGGTTGAGGATAAGGCAGGTAATGAAAGCACTGTGCTTGAGTGTCTTCCTGTTCATATCCAATTCTCATTTTTTATTCCAGGACACTATATTCCCAACCTGGCTCCTCTCCACTATTCTCTCTAGTCCTCCATTTTCTTCTTTCCTTTTAACATCCTGGCTTCTGAGTCTACTTCAGCAAACTTAGGTCCCATTCTTTCTGATTTTGTGTGGTCATTTCAAGGCCATGGACTAGACCAAGTGTTCTTTTCTCAATTCTTGGTTTAAAAAAGAAAAAAAAAGAAGTGGAAAGATGGTTTTCTTCCCAGTGTCACTAGTACGTGTTCATTGTTGCTCAACTTAGCATAAACTAAGGACAAATATATTAACCTGGAAATGGGATTTCTTTGAAATCTTCTAGAATTACTGTTTTGAAACTCAGAAACCTACAGATGTAACAATGCAATCCTGAGCTAGTAACATTTCCCTAGACCCATCCCTTTCCAACTGCAAGATATGAAGTCAGAGAAGTTACTAAGTATCTCTGAAAACCATTACTTTAAAAAGAAAGAATACTAAATGCCCAAGGTTAGTGAAAGTTGTAACTGCAACGGTAGCTAGGCACACAGAAGCTATGCAGTAAGTATCCTTAGATGAATAAATGAGCAAATCTAAAGCACCTAATCAGTGCTTGACATTCAAAAGGCACGTACTGAGCAACTGCAGCCAAACCATCAATACTTCAAGGGCTCTGCAGAGCACGCCCTCTTGCCTGGCCCCTAGCACGGGAACATGTTTGGCATCATGTCCAGAGGCTTCACCACAGTGCCAGTGCCTGTGCCTCTACCACCATACACTTCGTCTCACTCTGGCGCTCGGCTTCACTCTGTAAACGGCCATTCCATACGCACGGCCGACCTCCAACTCAATCATGAATATGCTAAGGCCAAGGACTGATGCTCTCTTTCTTGGTAGCTCCAACACTTTGTTCATTCAACACTGCTCTAGGTGTTGATTATGTAAATCACTCCCTGGTATCAATTTTCATAAAACAGATGCCCAGTGAATATTTGTTACCTAAATACAAAACACTGCTTTACAACAGTATATATGAGAGAAAGAAGACTGACACAGAAAGAGTATTTTATTATATTGCACAGAACACAAATGCAATCTTTACAATCACCATTCAACTCCTTAAGTCTAAATCCACTTGAGAAAACCTGAGCCCACGCAACAAACCTCTCACTCAAAATCACCCAACTCGACTCAAGCTCCCTTAACCCAAATGCTCTGTTCTTTCTTCCCAACTCCCCATCTCCTAAGCGGGGACTTCCTAGCCTCATCAATCAAATGTAAGTCTCTGTCGAGGGTACCTGGCCCTGTGCTTCCTTTCATTCACTGGTGCTTAACTGCTACAGTCAATACTAACCGGTTCATAGTCTGACTCATATCCACACCTGTCAATGAAGTAATTTTACATGGTAAAGAGAAAGCCTGAGAATATTTCCACTGGATAATGATTCCCTTGACAAAATACATCTTTTAAAGATTCCTCACATTTCAAGATATCAGCAAGGCATGATGGTGCACACCTGATATCCCAGCACTTGGGAAGCTGAGGCTGGAGGTGTGCCATGAGTTCAATGACAGCCTGAACTACATACCAAGACCCTGTCTCAAAAAAACAAACAAAACAATCAAGGTAAATATATATATATATGAGCATATAAATAATTATCTTCACTCATGAGGTGCAATCGAAAAATAGTGAATACTTAAATTTTAACACATTGTCACAATAAGAGACACATTGCCTTTAATGTCTCTCAAAATACTCCTTCTCATTGCAAACACACATCTCCCATCACTCTTGCCACGTTCTGAAGCAGTTCTGGAGAATTCTTTCCTGAGTGTCTTTAGATGTGCTGTCATAGCTGTCTCAATTACCTGAATCAATTCAATTAGCAATAATTGTGCATCAGATAAACCTTGTTGGCTATGATACTGCCACTGCCCAAAGCTACCTGAACAATTTGAAACATTTGTTTTCCATGATCATTTTGACTTTGGGGAAGAGCCTGACCTCATGAGGTACCAGGTCTGGCGAGGACACACTGCTGGTATCTTTTTACCAGCCTCCCTTTCCATTAGGTGGCACTCAGCAGCAGCATTCACTGCATTTTTGATCACACCTCATAAAGACAGCCTCGCGAAAGGACTTCCAGAACTGCTTCAGAAACCACGAACAAGGCAATAAATGTGATCAAAGTGAGGGGAACTATTTTGAGGGGGGTCAGTGTATCTTTTGCTGTCAGTTTTTCATGTAAACATTCATTGAGTATTTTAATCACCCTTGAATATCGTAAGAGCCCCAAATCCTTTCGAGGAATGAGTCTCTCGGTAGTAGCAAGCAGGACAGTGGTAGGGCAGATCTTGTGAGGTCAAAGAGGAAGAGTCAGCCCAATCCATCTCCCTCCCTACTTACAGGAGTCAGTCTGTCCTTAACAGTGAGGAGGGGTCGCTTACTGCTTTCTAAAGGGCAAGTATTAAATAATAATAATAAGGAATGCACTGTCTTTGTCATATATATAATTACATGCAAGGCCCTACAACAGGCAGCCCAAATCCATGTTTCCTGACTCACTGGCCTAAAGCCCTTACTCTTCTTTACCTGTCCCATGTGCAAATGCCATGCAATTTATCCCTCACAGAGCTCAGACTTGTGCTAGTCCTAGGGAACTCTACCGGGTCAAAACCCAGTCTTGTAGGGTTCAACACTGTAAGATTAAGTCCCTTGAAGTGCTGCTGGAGGGATCACCCACTTACCCACCCTTGGGACCCCAAGAGCAGCCTTGTCTTGTAGCACATCAAGTAACTTCTCTTATGAATTTCCCACTCTAACTGCATCTGTTGTAAGGGGCGCTGGGTGAAACAGCATACAACTCTTGGAAAACAAAGCATCAAACTGACCAGTGGGAATTACCCAAAAACCAACACTTCTCTTATGCGGGGACTAGTTAAATAGGACATATATTTCTTTTCTTTCCTCCACTTACGGGCTTTGGATTCTTAGAATATTAGAGACTCTACAAAGGAAGAGAGATGAAGTAAAAACAACACATCAAGGTTTATTTTGCCAGGCTCAGTATTATTGAGTTGAAAATAAAGACAAACAGAACTCGTAACTTTTTTCTACCTAGATTTTGGACAGTTGGCTATAAATAAAATGTAACAGCAAAGGGGGTCTAGAAAAGGAGTGGGAAAGGCCCTGACATGGATTTTCCCTACACCTAGTCATCTGCAGGCATCGTTTCTGGCCCTATAGTTCGTTTAAATCACTACTGCCCCAGCTACCTCTTTGCTAGCCTCTTCTCTCGGTGGACTCCCGCTGCCAAAATATTAATTACAGTACCTGAATTCCCTTTGACTCTCACTGCCCTACATTTCCACAATAAGGCATTGCTCTCAAGTATTTCTGTCATTTATTCTTTTTATTTATTAAATGACTAATTGGGGGTACATACATTTCAGGCTTTGCATCTAGCACCATGTTAAACCTCAGTCCCTCTGTTCAAGGATCTGATATTATCAAAAGTATGATACTCTTCTCAAGAAAAAAATACTGCTGGAAGTTTTTTCACACACGCGCGCGCGCGCGCGCGCACACACACACACACACACACACACACACACACACGACATACACCAGAAACCAATCTAAAAATTCTAGGCAAGAATTAAATCAGCATACCCTACACAGCCTACCTCCTCCCCTTCATAAAGCCTGGCTAAAATGAGAACACAGCGAACACACACTCGAATACTGCTTTATGAGTCTTAAAATCTTATTTTATTTTACCCCCCCCTTTTGTTTTTCAAAAAGAAGCAAGGCAAGAACAGTTGTTCTCATTTTCCAGATGACAAATCTAAGCGGAAGGAGGTAAAGGGCTCCCAAGGTGGTGCCTTAAGTGAAGAGGTCCAGCCCAGATTCCCACTGCAGCCTGCCCTCCCCGCAGGAAGAGAAACAGGCGCTGAGTTCAACTCACCCACCGCGTCTAAACAGCTCCTCACACGGCCAGCCGAGCCCCAGGCAGAAAAGCACAGCACACACCTGCCACGGCGCGTTTCATACCCTCGGCCTGGCGTCCAGGCCACGGCGGGCCGCCAGGCGTTAGTCCTGCCCACGCCAGGAAGGGCGGCTTCGCCTTCACGTGGGTCTGGGCCGAGTGGCCTGAGCTGCGCCTTCTGCAATCGGTGCGGGAGCCCACAGGTCCAGGTCGCCGCCGCATGCCCCGGAGCCGGAGCCGAGTTCAGAGGCGGACGCGCCGGGCCTCGCCACCCCGGCACAGCTGTCCGGGAGGACTCAGCCCTGCTCGAATTAAAGCCGGAGGACTGACTCAAATACTCCAAAATTCTCCTTCTAAATTTCAGCTACAGAAGTTTTAGCACAGACCGCCAACACATTTGAAGTTCTGGAATCTTCCATATCACCGGATATCCATATATATAACAGTTACCTGAACTGACAGTCACTTTTTCCAGTTTTCCCGCTTTTTCCATTCCAAAGAAGAAAACAACTTGCTTTTAGGAGAAGACAGAGGCTGAAAGGCTAAGAATCTTTTCAGTATGTCTGTCTCAAGGCTACCCAGACAAACCTCGTGTCCCCTAATGTTTCAGTCAACCCTCAAACACACTTTAGTGTAAATTCCTGCATTCAAAGCAACCCCTACAAACTTAGGCATTTCTTTCTTTTTTGAGACAAAGTCTGGCTATGTAGTTCAGGCTGGCCTTGAACTCACTGTGTAGCCCAGGCTGGCTTCCAACTCACTGTGATTTTCCTGCCTTGGCCTCCCCAGTGCTGGGATTTCAGGCGTGCACCACCGTGCCCAGCAAATTTAGGTGTTTCTGCTAACCCCACCCACACTCTCCTTCCTGATTTTCAAATGTAGCTTCTAACAGTTGCAAGTGTATCAAGCAATTTATACCACGAAGCAAATCTTACCTTGTAGCAGCGAAGAAAGAAACGTCAGGGGATCCTCACAACTCTGTACACTCCCAAGCCTCCCTCGTAAGGACCTGGCACTGATTTTAAAAGAGGAAAGGTAAAAAATCCAATCACTGTCGTCAAAAGAAGCCTTCAAGTCCACAAACCACAATTAAGCACTTCACATTTCCAAACACTGGCATGCTTCGCTCCACACATCGCTCTGCATGTTAAAATAAACTGGTGCCGGTGAGGTGAAATTGATTTTAATTATTCATCTCATTCCCATATCCTAAATTCAGCCCCAACAGATCTCTCTCATCGTCTAACAGGCAGGTGAAAGTTACAGGATTATTTGGTACAACTTGAATTTCCCTCATTGTATTTATCTTTAAAATTAACCCGGATACTTTACAGGATACACACTGGCAAAAGAATAGATATTATGTTTACGCGCCATTCAGATAAAGGTCTACTATCTAGAATATATAAAGAACTCAAAATATATCAGACCACGCCAGATTTAAAGACCCAACCCAAACATGGGCATCTGAAATGAATACACATTTCTCAGATGAAGAATTAGAGACGGCTGGGCTGGGGATTTAGCTCAGTGGTTCCACTGTCAGCCTCACAAGCGGAAGGACCCAAGTTCAATCCCCGGTACGAAAAAAAAAATAATCACAGGCAACTAACATTAATGAGAAGGTGGGGAAATCTGAATCCACATACATTGCTGTGAGCTTGTAAAATGATGAAGAATTAGAGACAGCAAATAAATTTATGAAAAAATGTTCAACATCACTAGTCATTCGAGAGATGCAAATTAAAACAACACTGAGATTCCATCTCACTCCAGAAAGAATGGCTATTATCAAGAAATCAACCAATAAAACAAATGCTGGAGGGATTGTGGGGAAAAGGGAACCCTTCTCCACTGCTGGTGGGAGTGTAGACTGGTGCAACCACTGTGGAAATCACTATGGAGATACCTCAAAGAACTAAAACTAGAGATTCCACTTGACCCAGCTATTTCCCTGCTGGGTATCTTCCCAAAAGAATTAAAAGAATCATACCACAGCGATCTATGCACACCCATGTTTATAGCAGCACAGTTTGTAATAGCTAAAACTTGGAAACAGCCCAAATGCCCATCAACTGATGATAAAGAAGATATGAATAAAGAAGATGTGGGGTTTTCTTATAAAATGGAGTACTACTCTGCCATAAAGGATGACCTTCTGACATTTATAGCTAAATGGGTGGACCTTGAGCCGTAGTCTTCTTAAGTGAAATAAATCAGACACACATGTTTAAATACTGCATTGTTTCTCTGGTGTGAGAACCTGAATGTGGAAATAAGGACTGGGATGTATAATGGATGTTGGAAAATGGGAAGAAAATATTCAGATGGAAAGGGGAACAAGGGAGGAGGGAGGCAGAAAGGAAGGGATAAGAAAAAAAGTGAAAATAGAAGAAAAATGGAAATAAAGTTTTTGTAGGTAGGGAGGGGAGAGGGCTTGAGGGGAAAGGGGTGTAAAAAAATTTCCTTAAAAAAAGGGGGATTGGGCCGGGGATTTAGCTCAGTGGCACTGCGCCTGCTTCGAAAGCACAAGGTCCTGAGTTCGATCTTTGGTACCAAAAAAGAAAAGGGGATAGATACTATGTAAGCAGTGTTTACCCACGTGTTAAATTTTTAAGTCACAGATTATACAAAGTATTTGTTCATGATTTTTTAACCAACAAAACAAAATTACGCCCTTAGAACTAGACGGGACGTCTATATACATTAACTATACAGCTAAGAAACGGAACGTGAGTCTTAAAGTACATTTCCCAGACAGTAAAATGACCAGCTCATATAAAAGGTAAATAATCTTCAAAAGGTTTCTTTTTTCAGTTTTAAATATCTCATCTTGTCCTTTTATTAACATTCAAAATGAAATCACTCTCTTTCACTCATGACTAAAAACTGATGAAACACACAGGCGAGGATCCGTGGGAACACATGCAATTGCTCCTTCACCAGGGAATGCCCAACCTCAAATTCCAGAAGGAGAGAGAGCAAAGCGGCTTTCTGACACCCAGAATAGCGGTTGGGAACGACGGGGCCGGGTCCTCAGTATGCACTGCGCTCCGATTTACCAGACTTATTTCTGACCCGCATCCTTCCCCAGGACCCCAGGCGCCCGCCCCTCCTGTAATCGCCTCCACGTCGGAACTGACTGCGCAGCCACAAGTAAAGGCCAAACTTTGCTCCGGCCTCCGAACTTAGGACGCGTCCGACCGCTAGAGGTCTCCCCGTGGCCAGTTTTGCGCGATCGCTATTTTGAGGCACTTGAAACTTTCCGGAGAAAAGCTCTCTAGTGGAGTCGGTGTTTTTCTAAAAACTTGCGCAAAAATCCACGCGACCGTGAGCGCCAGCGCAGCGCCTCGGGGCTCCCGACCCCCGTGGGGCCATCACGGACAGCGATCGGGGCCCACAGGGGGTTCCGCGCCCCGCGCCCCCAAATTCTTATTTCACGTCCCAGCCTCCCCGCTCCAAGAACAATCCCTTGAAGCCGGTTTGCCTCTGCGCACCCGGAGCGCTCCCGGGGTGGGGGTGGGGGGGCCGTGTCCGGGGGGCCCGAGCTGGCGAGGACTGGGGTCCGGGGAGGGCGCGAGGCAGCCGCAGAGGGAAAGAGGCGGCGTTTCTGGGGTCCCTTCCAAGAGAGAAAGATACCTCGGCTGCGGCGAGGGCGGAACGGGAGGAAGCGGGGCGGCGGCGGCGGCGGCGGCCGGGCCCGGGAAGGGGAAGGGAGCGCCGTTTACCTGGGTCTCCCCGGCCTGCGCGGCTCCCACGTCTCGGGAGGGGCCCGCCCGCGCTGAAACTTTCTCTCACGCTCGCGCAGTGGGCCGCGCTGGCACCGCCGGATCGGGGCTCCAGTCCTGCCCCCCGTTTTCTTTGAAGGCGATCAAAGTTTCCCCACCGGCGCCGAAGTTGCGCCCCGCCCCGCCGGTGCCGCCCCCGCCGCCGCGGGCTAGCTCGGCCCGGGCCCGGGACGCGAGCGCGCGGAACCCGAGATCCAGCCGGCGGCCCTGCGCCCACCGCTGCCTCCCAGAGGACCAGAGCGAGGCGGGCGTAAACAAGTTGCAGCAGGCGGCCGCCCCTGCCTGCGATCGGCCGCGCCGCACCGGCACCGGCACCGGCACCGGCACCGGCAGCGGCACTGGCACGGGGCGGACGCCGCGACGGCGCGGGCTCCAGGCTCGGCCCGCGGCCCGCGCCTCCCCGCGCGCTCGGCCTCCGAGCACTTTCTGCCTCGGGCACGAATGGACCGGAGGCTGCGGGTTTTTTTGTGTGTGTGCAACTTTCCCAAAATGGCGGAAATTGGAGCCGATCCGTAGGAAATTCTCACACCCCGGCCAGGAGCGCGGCGGCGGCGAACGCAAACTCTCGGCCGCCGAGCCGGGCCCGGGCCGCGTGTGCGTGCGTGCGAGCGAGGTGCGGGTGCGCGCCGACCGGAGGCCTCGCTCGCTCGCTCCCGCGCCGCCGCCGCGCACACTCGCACTCACACCCGCGCACACGCAGCGCCGCGGGCGGACGCGCCTGCACACTCGGCCCGGCGGGCGGGCGGGCGGGGAGAAAGTGCCCGCTCGGCCTCTTTCCCACTGCCGCGCCGCCCGCGCCCGGACTTCTCGCGCCCGCCGCCCGCTCCCGGTGCGCGCCCGGCACAAAGGCCGCACGGGCGGAGGGGCCGCAGGGGCGG